TAAAGCCGAGGCTGGATGTGAGCTCTTTTCACTCCCCAGTTTTCCCGTCTGGCAGGCTGGGGTTTGCACCAGTCACCGATACTCGGCCCTTTATCTCCCTGCGAGCCGTGCTCCACGATTTGACCCCGGCGTCCCTGCCAGCGTGGCAGGGTGCAGTGCTGGTGGTGCTGAGAAATCCAGAACCATGATGACGAGTCCTGAAGCTTAAGTAATTTTAATATTAGGGCAGATGCACCAAAGTTTATAGCTGAGAGCCTGTACCTGGATGAAACAGGGAGGATGCTCCTTGTGCCCCCCTTTGCCTCCCACCAGCATTTTAACTCCCGAAGCCTCGGAGGTGGGAAGAATAAATCGCGCTGACTGCTTGGAGAGGGGTGGTTCATCTCTCAGATCCCTTCACGAGCTAAGATCAAGGTTCAAAATACGCAGAGCAGGGAGGGAAAAACAGCTGCTTTTTTTTATTTTTTTGACCAACTGGATTGAAACCAGCTATTTTTAAATGTGAACGGCTTGCTTTAGCTGCGAGCTTGAACCCAGCACCTGCTCGGAGCCGGGCTGATGGTGAGGAGAGCCAGGCAGACTTGCATCTCCGTGTGAACAGAAATGTTTGGCTGAACTGGTTCCACTAGTCAAGTAAAAAAATTTTAATTAGAAAACTGCTAATTGAATAATCAGTTAAGAATCTAGGCTGGCTGCCGGGAAGGGAGTGCTGGAAACTGCAGCTTCTTAAATGCCAGCTCCTCGCTGTTAACTCGGGGCCATTGCGTGTGGGTGGGTGGTGGAGGAAGAGCAAAGCTTTCACGCGACGTGAGCGCTGCCCACGGTGTGGGGTTTTATTTTTTTTTTTTTAACAGCAGCATCAGCATTATCTTGAGAAACGGCAGCGGGGGTTTATATGCAAATCTGTTTACATCTGTGTTTCTGCACAGATTCACTTAGCAGAGCATGTGCGCGCGCAGGCAACTTCTGGATTTGAAAGCTGCTTTTTATTCCAGGTTGCCCGACACGGCCGACCCTGGCCTTTCAACTTTTTAGCCCACGTTCCTGCCCTGCCTTTGCCATGTGGGGTGTGGAGGAGCGTTGGCCTTTTACCTCTGGAATAGCACCTTCAGCAACGCTGGCAAAGGTGCTTTTTCTGGTAGAGCTTGTTTCCCCGCTGTGATAAGAGCAGCGTGGCTACCGGAGAATCACTTTTGATGCTGTCATGGCACATTGCTGCGAGGGCGGCGCTGCCGGGTGCACCGCAGTCCCACGGACAGGTCTGAGTTGGGAGGCTTTGCATCTCTTCTGCATCGTCCCTTTGGATTTGGTAGGGCATCCCTCTGCCTGCCAGGATTCTGCTTGACCACGGTGACAGCAGTCACTCAAGCTGCAAAGTCTGACTCCTCCGGGCATCCTGGTTTGATGTCTTTTAGCTAAAACCTCTACATTTCCCCATAATACAAGCAGTGTTGGTGAGGCGTTTGCTTCTCAAGAGCTGTCTTGATTTTAAATTGTTTTTTAAGATATAAACCACTGCCATCAATATCTGTTTTAGTTTTATAACAGGTAGGAAAGTCCTTCTGCGAAGGATTTGTGGAAGCGAAAGCAATGTTGGGGCCAAGGCGTGCCGAGCTCACTGTCAAGCGCTTTACAAAAAGAGATGAAGTTATTTTTATCGGTATGACGGTATGTGTTTACTGGGTAGAAACTTGTGCTGAATGTTCCTACATCTTAAGAAAGACCAAGGATTTTAGCCTTAAAACCCCAAAGCCAACCCTGCAGAGATGGTGGCTGTGGATGAGCCTTGCGCTGAGCGCAGGGTGAAGTGATGGGTAAAGGGGAGAGAGCTGGCAACGGCCACAGCTGACCGTAAACACCGCTTTGCACCGACATTTCAGCTGAGACCAGGGTATTAAACTTTCAAGGCTTCTTGTTTCCCGAGTGACAGATCTGGAAACTCGCCTGCGCTTGACAAATGGCTCATCCATATGTCGAGTTTGCAAGGGAGAGGAGTCGTGCTGCTGGCACCCTTTGAATGTGGTTCATTTTCCCGCTCCTTCCTCCAGCCCGGTTTCCCGGGGAAATGAGTCTTGTGCGATCCTTGTCTCCTCCGGCAGGAACTTTTTGAAGCGTCAACCAAATGCCCCGGCAAGGAGAAGCCAGAAACGTACCGAGTTTCTTTACATTTTGCCGAATCGCCTGCTTTGCAGAGGTTTTTGGTCCTTGCTGATGCCAGCCAGTGTGCCGCACACTGAAGCAGGTCCCCGGCGAGGGGACATGCGAGGTGTCAAGGTGTCGCAGGAAGCTTTGGGATGGCTGGAGCTGTTGCAGGGGGAGGAAGGTTTGAGGGATGTAGGATGCATCTGGAGGAACCCAAACTTTGCTAGGTCTGTTCACACAACAAGCTGTGTTCCCTATTGCACTTTTTTATTACAGTTTGCTGGCTGTCTGCCGTAAAACTACCTGACCTCGCTGGGGAAATCATCAGATATTGAATAGAGACCCCCAAAATGTCTTTCCTTGGGTGGCCAGTGGGTCCAGCTGCCCTGCTGTGTCCCGGGACAGAGCTGTGCTGCGATGAACGAGGGGAGTAGGGAATGACTGAGTCCCTGGGGGGCTGCAGTGGGTCCTTCTGCAGCCGTGTTCTTTGGGTGAAGCAGGTGGGTTTAGGCCAAGCTCTGCCCCAGCTTTACCTGCCCCTGCAGCTCGCTGTCCTTCGAAGTTGGGGAGTGAAGCTGCCCGTGAAATGACATTGCTGGAAGCACAGGCAGGTGGGGAGGAACTGGCTCTGAACATGTCCGGAGCTGCTGAGATTATGCCAGAGGGTTAGACGCTAAGCAAAACAAAAATTCCCCCTCAAAGTTCGTTATTCCTGTTCTCTGGATCCGGGCCTCGTGCTGCAAGCAGGTTTTGTTGCTCACACCCGGCGTGGCGAGCAGGTGATCTGAGCTGCAGCAGACACCAGAGCCTTCCCACAGAGGAGGTTAAAAAGCTAAATTCTCATCCATGCTCACTCCAGGGAGCGGCTTAATGACAGAGCCGGAGCTGAACCTTGGCGGAACTTGCCTTGCCCCCCCCCCCGGAGCCAGCTCTGACTCATTTTCTGTGTGATGGTGCAAACCAGTGTTGCGTCAGCGCGAGGCTCCTGTAGTCAACGGTCGTGATGCTGGCATTTTTTGATAAAGTTGGTAAACCAATTTTTAAACGTGTCTAGCGGGATCGAAGTCCTAATTGCATCGCAGGTGCCACGTGTGAAGACGTCGGGGAGCAGAGGCTGTGCACGGCGAAGGAGAGGGTGTGCTCCTGTGCTGGACAGGTTGTGTGACCTCGAAAGTTGGGGGAATTAAGACTTTCAAATGAAAATTGGGAGTGTGGGTTGCGCTATTCCTAAATCCGAGAGGAATTTGAAAACTCTATCCTCAATCATTGCAAACTGGCACGGCTTTAGCGGAATAGGCTCTGCTTGAAAATGTACTGGGGACAGGGTCCAGCCGTGACTTGGCTCGGCACACACTGGGGTTGTGGTTGCAGGAGCTGGAGGAGGAGCAGCCCAAATCATCCGTGAGATTTGCTTTACGGCAGAGGACGTATGGATGCTACGAGAAGAGGAACTTCTAAAATCGTGTTTATTATAATGGGAGTTGAACTGGGCAAAGCGTCTCCGGTAGACGTGTTTTAGAGGTGACAACTCTTGTTCTGCCTGCGAGCAAATGTGGCAAGATGGTGTTTTTAAAAGCTTTTCAGCTTACCTCCCGATGGTACCGTCCTACAGCCTGCTCCCCTTGCTGATCTCCTGGTTAGAGATTTTTTATTTACAACAAAACAGGGGAAACTCTGATCCTAAAATATCTTGATTTAAGATCCAGGAATGAGTCTGGTGCCTGGGAAGAAGGCAGCGACGTGAGCCCGTAGCAGCCTCCGGGCTCCAGATATTTTTTTCTTGGTGAGCCTTGCAGGGTCTCGGCACTGTTAGGGTTTTTATGTGGTCACACGGAAGCGATTAATTTAAACACTGTTATTTTTTATGGTGAGACTAAGCCTGGTGGAGTTAGCGTATCCCTGTAATTAACATACTAAATCCAGACCTGTTTGTTTCTTTTTGGGAAGTGAATTTTAAAATGTATCACGCACCAGTCTCAAGGGTGCGAAGCTCCATTATTATCTCTTTGTGCATGAAAATAATGGATTTATGGGCTGTAAGTGCGGTGCTGCAGAAATTGTGGAACGGTCGGGCTAGAGATGGAAATCGCTGTTAGGGTGGATGCACAGGGTGGCTTTCGGTGGCTGCAGGGAAACGTGGTCGATGGCTTGTGCTCCTCCGCCGATTAATACTAACTCATCAACTTGATCATGAAAACAGTTTAATTGTCAGATTTTTTAATCTTTAGGAGAGTTTCCATGGGGTTAATTTTATCTGCTGAAATTACAGGCTAAATTAAGAGCCCGGGGAGAAAAATAAAGTGTTTTTGTTGATGGAGAGAGGCTGGTGTCAGGGCAGAGTTGGGGTAACCGCGGCAGGGATCATCATGAGCATCCCTGCCTGCCATAGCAGCTCCCGTCTCTGCAGCTGATTTGAGCCAAGAAAGTCAGAGCTGAAACCTTAGTTACACCTCTGGGGTAGAAGAATATTTTAAAGGATGTAAATGGGGAAAATCTATGGGGGTTTTATGGGCATGTAGCGATAGGACCTGCCGATGAGCCGTGAGCCCTGCTCCCTGTTTGGTACCACCACAAGTGGCCTTGGCCGGCGGAGGCTCCGGTTTAGATCCGTGAAATTGTTGTCGCGTTACTCTGGAAGCATCACGTGCCAGTTTAGGTGCTGCTTCCTATCCGAGAGTAAAAGGCAGCAAAATTGTGATGGGGTGGGGGAAAAAAAAAAAATTAAATGAAAAGTGATCATTATGAACCTGGAGCTAAACTATTGCTTTTTCTCCCCTTCTCCCTCCTTCCTCTCTCTCCTTTTAAACAAACACCACCACCTAAAACCGCCAACAAACCCCCTTTCCTCCATTTCCCAGGAGCTCTCCTCAAGTACGGAAAGTCTCGATAAGTCATTGTCTCCCGTAAGTGGCCCGTTTCGTTCCTGCGCCCGGGCTGCCTGCCTTCCCCGCGACAGCAGCATTTCCTCTCTGCCACGAAAACACTAAACCCCGGCACCCGGCGATGCACCGCAAGCAGCTCTGGTCCCCAGCCGTCCCCCACAATGTCTGCACCGCTTGAGCCCCCGGTGGGGGCAAAGCCACTTGTTCAGCGAAACGCCGGCGGAAATGGAGCTTTGGGCAAATTCGCTTGCACCGGTTTGGCTAAAAAAAAAAAAGCAGAAAGCCCCGGGGGGCTGGGGGGTGCCCTGGGTGCTCATTTCACACACACCCCCCCCCCAAAAAAAAAAGGGAGCGAGGGAGAGAGAAACCCTCGTACCGCCAACGAACGGCGGAGGCAGGGGAGGGACTTGGCTGATGCTGCAGATATCGGTCTGAGCAGTCGCTGACCTTTGCGTGGCGGTGTCCGCAGATGAAAGAGGAAATGCTGTTTCCTTGAATTTTACTTAAAAGTTCTCTGCCAGATGGGATTTAATTTGCTTTTTCCACGAATCATTATTTTTCCCCCTTCTGTGTGTTCAACTTTCAATCAAAACCCAGCGTTTCCCTAATAGAGCGTTTTTCTTTCAAAATGGGCCTTTTTCATTATTTTTTATTTTTAATCAATAGCATCTTCCTCATCTGTGTCATTTTCCTGCCAGTGGGTGTGTGTTCTCCGTCTGGGATTCCCAGTGGGCTTCCACACGTTGAATATGTAGTCCATGATCAAAACCACCTACCCGGGCAGCGGTGCCTTGCGTAGCCCCCATCCTCCAGGACGGGGTTTATATGGGGAACTCCAGCCTTTTTAGCCTTTATAAAGCGTTATTTGACGCGTACCCAGCTCCCGTCCTTCTGTGCCTTCAGAGGGACAATTTTCACACCTTTTACACGTGGCACGGTGCAGGCAGGAGCGTTGACTCTGTGGTCATGTACAGACACAGGGCACAAGGCTTGTACCCCTGAGCACACCCCGATGCAGACTCCTCCTTTTATTTTTTAGAAATCTCCTCCAACTCCACTGTTTTTAAGGGCTGCGAGGGACGGTAGGATGCTCAGGCAGCCGTGGGTGCTGGCGGTTGAGTGGGAGGTAGGGCACCAGGCTCTGAGTCCCAGTTTACCCACCCAAATTTAGGTAAGTTGCTTTCTTTTTTCCCCCCTCCTGCTCCTCCCGGCCAAGCAAAGGCAGCGACGTCTCTTCCTTCAGTGGCTTTTTGAGGCTTGGCCTCGGTAGAGCGCTTGCAGGCTCCTCCGTCCCAGGGCATCACAGGAGCGCCCTTGCAGTCCTCCGGCTGCGGCGGTGGTTGTTGCCATCACCTCATTCACCTCGACCGTGCCACCCATCTCGCCGTCACCCGGGGCTGGGTGGTAGCGAGCGCCCGTTCCTCTCCCCTGGGGCAGGAGACCTTTCCTTCCAGGCTTTGCAGACCCAGGTTGTTTATCCAGGGCAGATGGTTATTGCAGCAGCTGGGGCTCTTTGCAAGCATTTATGCCAAATTTATAAACCTGCTTGCAGGCACCTGCACCGAGCTGAACGGTCACAGCATTTATAAATCATGGCAGGTATCAGTTATCAGCGCTGATGCTGAAATCCTCATGGCAGGCAGCTAAGCTAAAGGGACCGGGTAGCAGCTCTGCTCCGCACTGCTGAGTAGTTTCCAACTCTGAGTAGATCAGGTGGTTCTCGCTCCCGTGGAGTGAGTGACCGTGGGCAGCAGAAATGGGGGGTGGCCACGATTTTGCTGTATAAAGCTCTGAAATGACAAATTGTGGTGGTTTGAGCGGAGGAGAGGTGGGACGTCAGGGTAAAGGTAGGTAGAACAGCGGAAAACACTTTGGCAGCTGAGGCTGGAAAGCATTCCAAATTAACCCCCCCCTGTTTTTTGAGATGCTTAGACCTCACCCAGGCAAAACCACCCAGGCGTGATGGCTGTGCAGAGCTGGACCAGCCTTGCCCCTTCCCTGCGTCGTGATGCCTCCGGCACTGCTCCGAAGCTGGGTCTCCCTCCTCTGCCGGTCCTGTAGCCAGGAATGGATCTGTGTCGTCATCCCTGCCTGGTCCTGCGAAGCAGTTTGAACTCACGTGGGGAGAGAGATGCTCCTGGAGTGTGTCCTGGCAAAAAACAAACACAAAGCCCTGCCTAATTTAAGAGCAGGAATATTTTTTTTTCAAAGCGCCGCCAGTGAAATGTTTTGCTGTAGTAGAAAGTAAATGGTAGAAAGTAAATATTTATGTTGGCTCAGAGCAACAGAAGGATCCTTCGGGTGGTCGGATGAGGGAAGAGCATCTCCCATCCTCCCTCTCTTCGCTTGGCTTCAGGACCGTGATATTAATGAGCCAGGGCAAAAGCAGCTCTCCGCAGCCCAGCTTCGGCGTGACAGGCTTTCTGCAGCTCTTCGGGCAGGCTGGAGACAGCGTTTCCTGCGATGGCCCCGGTTCAGCTGATGCCATTTTCTGAAGCTGCTTCTCCATAACAGGATGCAAAACTTCCCGTGCTGAGTCCCCTGATAACGCCGAAGACCGGAGCAGCACTCGGTGGGATGCCTTTGGAGCAGGACGGGATGGGGAGGACATTTCCCAGCCTCGTGTTTCTGGCTGGAGGAGCCGAGACCTGAAGGTGTTCAACCAGAGCATGAACATCGGAGGTGCAGAACGAGTCATGGAGGTGGCGGGGCGCTCCCGAGGTCGGCATGGCTTCGCTCCACTCGCTGCGAAACAGGGAGAAGATGCTTCAGGAGATGCTTTGGGATCCCTGGAGAAGAAGGGGTTTAAAAACTGCCTATGCTTGTGATACACAGATCGATACATGTCTGAACCAGGAGGACTTTGCTTGTGGTCTGCTCCTGCACGTGGGCACCTTCTCGCCTGGGCACCATCCCAAATTCCCAGGCATTTTTTGCACAGAGACCTCAGAGTGGGCGAGAGGGAACAAGGCTATTTTGGTGACAATATCAACTACGTGCCAAACCTGGAAACCTGCCTCGACCAGAGAGCAGAAGGTCCTTGGAGGAGCAGGGACATCGCAGCCATCGGGGTTCGATGGAAGAGGCATCGGAAGAAGCAGAGCATCCTTTGAATATCGTTCGGCTTTTTGCAGAAATTAGATTAAATGCAATCGAGCAAAACAGTCCCGGAGGTCAAGGAAGCGTTGGGGCACAGGGTGGGCTGGGTGGCAGGAGCCGAGGCAGAGCACGGTCCGGCCAGGACCAGGTCCTTTCCAACCCATCGGGGAATGGAGCATCAGCTAGTGCAGGGTTTTAAATATTTATCCTTTGCCTGGTAGGTGAAAGCGATATCGCTGGGTTAGATGCGTGCAAATGCTTCCTCCTGTCCCGAGGACGCCTCTGCTGCGCTTGCTAGCAAGGTGGGCAGGAGAGCAGAGTGGAGGGAAGGACAGGAAGGATTTTTGGAAGGATTTTTGACGTGGACTACAGATACAAACGATTCCCCCCTGCCCTTTCCCAAAAGGGAACCACCAGACTGATCCTTCTCCTTTTATCATCCCTTTATTTTGCTGTGCAGCCGTTCCCGGCTCTCCGATGTTTTTCTTTGCTTCCTTTTCTCACGCTCCGTAGCTTTTTGCATGTGCATTTCCAGCATGATTGTACAGTGAACACTTTGCAAGTTTAATTCTGCATCTTAAATGGCAAAATCAGCCGCAATCATTTGTTGTTCTGATCTAAAAGCTTGAAAAAGTCAAACAGAGAGATCGGCTTAAGCCACAGGGTGTGGGGGGGAGCTCCTGGGTCCAAGGGGCTTCCTGAATCGCAGTTTGATCTTTGCAAAATGGTCGGGTTGTTGAGCCACAATCGAGGCTTCGGGGTGAGGATACGACAGAAAAATGAGCGCCGAGCCGGGGACGAGGCTGATTCACGCTCCCTCTGCTGGCTGCGGGCTCCTGGCCGCCGCGGCCCTGGGGATCCGCGAGCTTCTGGTGGGGATGTCGGCTCCGGAGTTTTGGGGAGGAGGATTTCTGGACAGCACAGCGGGAGGGGAAAAAGTGCTTTGATCGTGCCCTGCTCTGCTTCCGGATGATGAGCCCGGCTCTCCGGTCACGGGAGCATCATCCGAGAGTGGGGAAGAGGGTGGGATGGGAAGAGCTGCTTTCTCCATCTGGAGTTTATCCTTTTAGACTGCGGAGCCTGGTTGCAAAACTGCCGATGTGTTATCAACCTGCTGCCTTTATAACGCTCTCCCTCCACCCTTCTTCCCTAAACCTTTTTTAGCCTGTCAGACTTGCTCCCGAGAGAGAATTCATCAAATCCCTGATCGCCATCGGGAAGCGCCTGGCCACCTTGCCGACCAAAGAGCAGAAGACCCAACGGCTCATTTCGGAGCTGTCGCTGCTGAACCACAAGCTGCCGGCACGCGCCTGGCTCCCGACGGCTGGCTTCGACCATCACGTGGTGCGGGTGCCCCACACCCAGGCAGTCGTCCTCAACTCCAAGGACAAGGTACGAGCAGCCGAGCAGTTTTGCCTTGAAACCTGCCTTGAAAGGCAGGTTTTTGTCCTTGGCACGGCCCCCGTTTGGGTGTTGAGTGAAATAAATGTGCTCGGGGCATCGGAGCAGGGTCCCTCCTTGCAGCCTGGCTGCTGCCATGCGGCGCAGAGGGTTGTGTTACTGCTTCCAGGGCTGGGAGCAATGGGGAGAGAGGTCTGTGTGGGCAGCTGGGAGGGGAAGACATACCCCCGAGAGTAACCATCCCCTGAAACGTGCGCTGTAGGGGTCTCTGGGAGGTCCAGCCCTGCCCTGGGGGGCTGTTCCACATCTACTGAAAAGCACGGCTTTGCCCCCCAAAAGCCATATGCCAAAAAGAAAAAGCATACGCCCTGCAAGAGCAAAGAGCATCAGGCTGCCTCCTGTAGCTGCCTGGCACGTGCAGCTACCGTGCCCCGCTAACGTTTGGTTTTGCTTCCCCCAGGCTCCCTATTTAATCTACGTTGAAGTACTTGAATGTGACAATTTCGACACAGCGAATGTGCCCGCTCGGATCCCCGAGAACCGCATCCGGAGCACGCGCTCGGCCGAGAACCTTCCCGAGTGCGGGATCACGCACGAGCAGAGGACCAGCAGCTTCACCACCGTCCCCAACTACGACAACGACGACGAGGCTTGGTCTGTGGACGATATTGTGGAGCTGCAGGTGGAGGTGAGGCCGGGGGGTGCCAGGCAGGGTTTGTCCCTTGCTGATGCTGCGAGATGCTGCCGGGATCCGGCGCAGCGGCATCGCAGGACGGGAAGGCCCTTCCAGGCGGCAGTGCCATCCCAGCTCCTGCCTGGGATAAAAGATGAGTGGGAATTGCGTTTCAGCAGCTGCTACATCCCACCTCTCGCACCTTTCCCTTCCCAGCTGCCGGAGATTCACACCAACAGCTGTGACAACATCTCCCAGTTCTCTGTGGACAGCATCACCAGCCAGGAGAGCAGGGAGCCTGTGTTCATCGCTGCTGGAGATATCAGGTGAGACTGGCCTGGCGAGAGCAGCCCAGGCAGCGGCTTTGTTGGGGGGGGGTTATGAGTTCAGATGTAAAAAGGGCAGGGTGCGAAATTTCTGTGCTAGATTCCCAGAGAAAAACCATCTGCACGGGTTAAGGAGGGGCTGTGCAAACTGTGGGCAGTGGAGGTTTATGAGAGCCCTAAACAGAGGCGTGTAAGAGACTCTCTGGGCTGGTACAGCCTCCCCCTGCTCAGCCGCTGGCATCTTTCCTGCTGGCGAAGCAGTGGATGTGGCCCTGGTTTGGGGTGAATCCACGAGCTTTGTAAAGTGCTTTGGATCGAAGAGGCTCAGGGCGTGCGTGGTGATGCTACTTTCCCCCTCAACAAGGGGTTTCGCTGCTTAACGGCTCTGTCTTGCAGGCGGCGGCTCTCGGAGCAGCTGGCGCACACCCCCACCTCCTTCAAGAGGGACCCCGAGGACCCGTCCGCTGTCGCCCTGAAGGAGCCCTGGCAGGAGAAAGTCAGGTAGGGCTGGAAGGGGCACGCGTGTGCTGGGTTGGTCTCAGCGCTGCAGGGACTTTGTATGTCTCGGAAATCCAAGGAAGTCGCTCCGTGATTTGCCCGGTAAATAACCGTGGCCTCGACTTTAGGCCCTGCTCATCCCCAGGGTGGGTGTGTTCACTCGGGACACGGGGAGGCGGAGGGCAGCGAGCAGTGGGTGTGCCGGAGGAGGGAGAAAATCCACGGCAGATTTGCTGCTCTTGGGTTAGGCTTTGAGGGGCTTTACCAGGTATTTATAGGCATCTTTTACGTCAGAAGAGTTTGGCCTGTCCCAAAATAAACTCATTCGTGTTCCTGCTCTGAGAGTTGTATGTCCAACCCCCAAATTTCTCCTTGAGCAAGAGGGAGAGCCCTCTGGGCTCTATAAATTTGGGGGTAGTCTTGTCCACGTTGTTCTGATGGAGGGGCTGGAGGATTCAGGGAGAGTTAATTCCCCTCTGCTGTTCTTGGAGATGGCTTGTGGCTCAGGTAAGATCTGCACCGTAGTTTGGTGAGGGCTTGGTGTGCGGTTCTTGCAGTCCTGGGCCCTGGAGCTCATTCTGCTGCAGTCCCAATTGAGCATTTCCAGAGGCTTTCCTTGCCCCCTGTCGTGGTTTAACCCCGGCTGGCAACTAGGCCCCACCCAGCCGCTCGCTCACTCCCCCCCGCTGGGATGGGGGAGAGAATCGGAAGGGTAAAAGTGAGAAAACTCGTGGGTTGAGATAAAGACAGTTTAACAGGTGAAGCAAAAGCCACGCACACAAGCAAAGCAAAACAAGGCATTCATTCACTGCTTCCCATGGGCAGGC